CAAGATTAGCAGCCAAAGAGATCAAGATACGAATAGAGGAAATTTTGGCAACAGGAGAAAAAGTCTTCTCATAATCAACACCATAAGTCTGAGTAAAGCCTTTTGCAACAAGTCGGACTTTGAGACGCTCCACAGAACTATCTGGATGAAATTTAATAGTATATACCCAATGACAACCAACAGTTCGTTTATCAGGGGGTAAAGGAACGAGATTCTAAGTCCCATTACGATGTAAAACATCTATCTCCTCCATAGCTTTCCTCTGACCCGGATCAGATAAAACATCGTGTAAATACTTAGGAATAGATATAGCGGATAATTGGGAGGAGAAGACAAGAGACAAGGCATCATATGAAACAAAATGAGAAATGGAATGATTAGTAACACACGAACGAGTACCTTTGCGAAAAGCAATAGGTAAATAGTCTAAATTACCTAATGTATCAGGATCAGAAGGAAGCAAGGAAGATGGTACGGGCACCTCAATCGATGGGTGAGGACGGCGAGAGTAGACACGGAGAGATAAAGTAGATGATGACATAGTGGACAACGGAATGTTTGAAGATGAGGAAAGAGATGGTGGTACAAGAGATGATTCAAAGTCCAGATTCAAAGGCTGAGAAGGTGCTGGAAAGTATGGAGCAGATTCTTCAAACGTGACATCAGCACTAGAAAAGTATTGGTGTAGAGAAGGACTGTAACAACGATACCTCTTTTGCGTGCGGGAGTAACTAAGAAATACACATTTGGTAGCTTGAGGGTCAAGTTTGTCAAACCTAAGACCCAAATTGTGAACATAACAGACACATCCAAAAATCTTAAGAGTCAGGAAAAATAAGAGTTTACCAGGAAAAATGACAGAATATAGATTTTGTCTATTTAACACAGAGGATGACATATGATTAATAAGATGACAAACAGTAAGAACAACATCACCCCAAAAATATCAAAGAATATTCATTTGGAATAACAGGGCACGGGTGACTTTCAACAAATGACGGTTCTTGCATTCAGCAACACCATTTTGTAGAGAGGTGTAAGCACAAGAAGTCTGATGAATAATGCCAATTTTACTAAGATAAGCTGAAAAAAGGATCAGATTCATATTTTCGAGCATTTTCAGAACATAAAATACGGATACGACACTCATACTAAGTTTTTATTTCTTTACGAAATGTCTCAAATATAGAGAATAATTTAGACCAAGTTTTCATCAGAAACAACCAAGTTACACTAGAATAGTCATCCACAAATGACAAAATATGGATATTTATTAGATAAAATATTCTCTATTGGACCCTATACATTAGAATGCACCAACTCAAATGGACTAGACACACGATTATTGACTCGAGACTAAAATGACACACGATGATGTTTACTAAGTTGACAAGTTTTACAAGACAAAGACGGCACAGAACTAAGACTGGGAATCTGACGCTTCAGATTTTGGAGAGAGGGATGTCCAAGACGACAATGTCACTGAAAAGGAGACAACAAGGTCTGTAGAGCCCGAGTAGGTGAATCAAAATCAAAGTAATATAGGCCACCAACTTTATGTTCCATACCAATCTTCCTCTTTGTCTTAAGATCCTGAAAGACACAATAAGAAGGATAAAATGTTACAAAACAATTGAGAGAACGGGTAATCTTGCTAATGGAAAGTAAATTAAAAAGAAATTGAGGAACAAATAATATGGAAGATAGGGACATATCAAGACTTAAGTTAGTAGTCCCCAAACCTGAAATTTTAGAACAAGGGCCATTAGCAAGAATAACACTATGTGTGGAGGTAGCAAACTGATAAGTAGAAAAAATATCAGACGCACCAGTCATGTGATCAGAAGCGCCAGAGTCTATGATTTAGGGACTGCGATTGGAGGACAATATATAAGTAGAAGCAATACCTGACTGGGCAAAAATAACAGTGCTGTCGCTGGGATAGGAACTGGGCATACTCCTCTCGACCCAGTGTAATAGTAATTGTAGGTGGCAAAGGTGGAGTTAGGGAGTTGTAACCTTGCTTGGGTTCCATAACAGTATTGCAAATACAAAAAGAAAATCACTAGATCACTGAACCGAACAAGAAACACTTATTGCATTGTTGAACCGAAGAAGAGAAGGTAGCTGGATAACCAGACCGGGTTGGAAAACCTGGCTGGGGCAGAGAAGTCCACTGGAGCGTTGAACCAGACTAGAAAAGTCTACTAGAGTGCTGAATCGGGCCAGAAAAGAATGCTGGAAAACTGAACCGGACCACAAGAGTTGATTGGATCACTGAACCGGGCAGACCAAGCTTGCTGGATTGCTGAACCGGACTTGTTGAGGCTGTTGGAGGACTAAACCGGACAGCCTAGGCTTGCTGAACCGGAGTAGATGCTGACTGAACCAGTGGGAAACTAGTTGAACCGGTCTAGGCTGAATCGCTGAACCGGTCTAGGCTGGACCGTGAACCGGATCAGGTTTGGGTTGGACCAGATTGGGCTGGATCTAGATCAAAAATATATTAAAACCCATGGACTTTGTCTTCTCTGTCGCTAGGGTTTCAGAAGGCCTAGTCTTCTCAACAGCGGCACCTAACAGCCACACCACCGCAAAGAACAACACCACCACACTAATCAACACCACAAGAGAGACAAGCGGAAACGACAGCAACAGCACCACCACAGAGACAAACGGGAATGACAACACCACAACGATCAATAACGCCACAGTCTGATACCACCATAGTCGACAACGCCACAAAGGCCACCACACCAGACAACATAGTAACACCAACTTCCACAGAGGCCACCACAATCGTTTACGCTAAATTTTTATTTCTTTATTTAGGATCTTAATTGCTCTGATATAATGTTAAGTTTAGAGGATTAACACAATAATATAGAGAAACAGAGAGAAGTTAAAAATTTAACCTAACTCTCATACATCACTTGTATTTATAGTTGACTCACAATAATAAGAATTACACATAATACCCTAACACTATTAACAATTTACACATACTACTCTAATACTCTTAACAGTCTCCAATCTTCCCTTCCCTGTAGATACTTGACCCAAAATATTAAAAGTGTCCATTCTTTCGTATCTCCTGATCTTTCTTATGTTCAGTTCTGTTTCTACTTTTGTTGAATCCTTTTTGATTTTAAGACTTCTCAGTTCTCACCAACTAATTATTGGTCACCTCCGCTTTTCTTCCATCAATCAATAGTATATTATATGCAAAATAGAACTAGCTGTTAATTCTTAATTTACTTCATCTATATTACTTTTTTTAACTTCTTTATTGGCAAGCTTACATCTTTTAGATTTTGTCATTTTTTTGGAGTTTTTTGGTTTAAAACTTTTTTATCATGTGCTTTATTTCATTTTCTTATCATGTTTATAGCGCCCTTTGGTTATTATTGATATAGTTAGTCACGATACTCATACATCCTGTGCACAACATCAAATTTATGGTCGTATACCATCATGTCTTGAAGCTTTTCTGATTTTTATTTTCTCTGCTGTACTCTTTACTTCGAAACCCGTAGATGTATGCTGTTTTTTTTATTTTTTTCTCCAGTTTGGACCTATCATCATTCTGCCACCAAATTTCTCCAAGAACCTCTTTTTATGTTGCATTGCATTATTTTCATCTTCTAAATTTCATGTGTTTTTCTTTTTACTATTTTATGCTTATATGAAATGTTTTTTTCTTTTAAGATCTACCATCTAGTTCTTGGTTTTGTAATATCTTTTACTAGTCTTAAACAATCTTTAACACGTACATTTAATATCAATACCTTGTCAAGCTCTCTACCATAGTTTTAAAAATAAGCTGTTATGGTGCATAACTACCGTTACGTAATGATAACTATATGGCCATCAATCCTATTACACCCTGATTTTTTTTCAATAAATTTTTTCACAGCCGTAACAAGTATGGGTCAAATTGGACTCATACAAACTATTACAACCTGATAACCTATGTCAATACACACTGCCAGATCTACTAAATTTTTTTCTTGTGTCGACATCATAGTAAATTAAATTGTGAATTTTGTAATATTTTGCTTATTATTTGTTGTTTAATTTATGATTAACGGTTTTATTTTTTTTGGCGGGGGATCTTTTTATGAATTTGGTGTTGAATTGTGTTGTGTTAGTTCTGTTGTGGTAGATATGGTCACCGTGTGTGTATTTACATCTCTCAATTGAATTGGGTTGATTTGGAGAACTGGAGTTTGTTGGTGGTCTCGTGGGGCCTTGATGGTTGAATTGGTTTGATTTGAAGAACTGGGGGGTTGGTGGTGGTCCGTACGGGGTAGATGGTGGATGTGGAGGGCTGTCATGGTGGTGGGGTCATTGGATGGTGGCGGTTCTGCACAAGGGTGTGACAGTGCGATGGATTTGGGCAATGTGGCTTGTGAAAAGCTACAAAGGTGTCCCATTTAAATTGTTAGGAATCATGGGGGTTGTTATTTATTAGTGTAGTTTGTCCTTGTTTCTCATCTATTATCACCTATATTTTGAGTAGTCTTTCTTTGTTAGAAACGAAAATTATTCTTGGGTGGTCTATTGCATGAGGCTTCAGACAAATGGGGGGTCAGATGTTTCTGCAACTCAAACAATTTATGCCCGGATGATAATGGAGCAATTTTACTGTTGCGCCAAGGTTCATCCTCTTAAATGATTTTTTTTTAAGATAGAAAAAGGTACAATAATTGTGGACAAAAAATCCAACTATTGGTACAAAAAAGCTTAAAAACAGAAACTCACAAAGCAAGACCAACTTCAGACAGAGTCCCTTTCAACTACATGTTGCAATCGAATTTTGGTGGATAAAGAAGGAAGGGGTATCCTGAAGCCCTTTGGTTTATGCTTTCACTTGGATCACTAGGTTTGAATACTGGCAGTGGTAGCATCACATTTTCACGTGGTTTTAATGGAGTGATGTTAATAAAAACAAATGGAACTGACTAAATAGCGAAGCTTGATAAGTGGGATTTATAGAAATGGCACCAAATGCTTTGGGCAAGGTTCCAGAGTTGAGTGGGAGAGTACACTTTTGTAAAGTTTGAAGTATGCATGCATGATTTAATTTACTGTAGTTTGAGACACTAAAAATAACTTAATGAGGGAACTTTTGTCTAACAAATAATGGTTTTGTAATTCTGCTTTTGCACCGTACTTGATGCATGGTCAAGCAATTCAATGTTTTGATCATTGTTGACCGTGAGAGTGTTCATGTTTCACTTGCTTAACTACTAATGTCTGCTAACTCTGTTAGATGCCATGCAGAATTTCTTGGTTCATTCCTTTAGTATATTCATCGTCTTCTTTTACTTGCATATGGCAAAATGTGTTGAAAATATTGACACGTCATATGCCATAATATTCCATGTCTCTTCCCTTAGGAAGCTTCGATTTCTATAAATGCAATGGTAACTACTGTTATGCTTTTTGCCTTATTTTTCTTTTCCCTAGAAACAATGATCAAAAATTCGTTTGGGTGCATTGTTTTGGTCACCTTGGAAATAAAAACATTTTGACTTGTTTTAAAAACATTATTTTTTCAAAACACTGGTTAGACTAAACCAAAGCATCTTGAAATATTCTGAAACAATTATGTAAAAGCACTGAAACACTTCAAAACATCTCAAAATATTATGACACACCGGACTTTCGATTCCATAACTGATTCGTTTTGATCTCTATGAAAACGGAAACATTTTGGCTATTTTGAAACGAAATTTTGATCCTTGCCTAAAAATTGAAATTTAGAATCAGCTTGAACATAATGCATGATCACATTCTGTCATCAGATTTGGTGGTTTGTTGTTCAGTGTCAGTAATTGTTGATAAATTTGAAGATAGAAGAACTGAAGTGCTCTATGATTATATCGAAGTACTGAAGTGCTCTAAATTATATCAAACAAGAACTATGGAATTCTAGATGCTACACGCCTATAACAATTGTGGTGGTGTTATTTTTCAAAACATTCCACTGGCTTCTGTGTGGATCATGTTTTTAAAAGTTCCATTCTTGAAATAAGGTCCAAAGTGTAGAGGAACAAGTTAGAGCTGCAGCTGAGCACAAACTTGGAGTTGCTAATCAGAGCATTACTGCTGGCTTCTTTGACAATAACACAAGGTAAGTTTGAGTATTTGTAAAGATGAAGATTGGGAAATTTTGTGGCTGTTAGAAAGCACACTTGATCTTTGCTCATTAGATTTTCTTTAATGCAATTACAGTGCTGAAGATCGAAGAGAATACTTGGAGTCCCTTTTCCGGGAGTGTAAGAAAGAGGAACATACACCAGTTTTGGATGATGATGCTTTAAATTATCTTATAGCCCGCAGGTATGTCTGGTTTTAGTTTTATACAAGCTATTTGTCCACCTTTATTATTGGTGTTCAGTAACTAACTGTGATGGTGGGATCCATAGAAGCCCTTCACCTTATGCAATTTCTTAAAACATTTACAATGCAATTGAAAATGACTGAGGCTGGTGCAATGGCATATCTTCAAGATCGGGATTCTTGAGTGGATGCATGCAGTTCTGAATTTTACATTTTTATACATAAGTAACAAATTTTACTAATAATAAGAGATAGGTAGGACAATAATAGAGTATGGATGAACAAGTAGTCCAGTCCATAAGCTAAACAGAAGTAACAGTCCCATAAAGGATTACAAGCATAAAAACATGAAAAATTGTCTAACAGCCACAAATAATAGACCAACTCCCCAAAATGCCAAAAAGAGCAATGTTCGCAAACTCCTTAGTAATTGATACCCAAAAGAAAGCTATGAAATGGATACGATTCCATAACCCCTCAACTACCTCGCATTAATTATCAAAGATTCTTGCATTTCTCTCCATTCAAATCACCCACATAGTTGCAAAAATTGAACACTCCCAAAGAGTGACTCGTTAACTGTTCTTTCCAAGACCTTGGAAATCCATTCAAAAGATACAATCAATAGATCTAGGAGCCACCCATGAATTTTCAGCCACCTCAAAACAGTTGTTCCACAAAGACCAACCAATCAGGCAATATAAAAATAAGTGATCCACTCTCATATAGTCCTTCCTATACACAACACACAATTGTAGTAATAGCACTTCATTTGTGTTAATCCATGAGCAACCACCCATGCGCGTATTTGCACTTTCAAAGGCACTTTGGCCTTCCGAATTTTCAATGATGGATAAAAAATTGGGGTAGAAAAATTATCAATCAAAGAATCCAAAAAAGATTTACAAGAAAACACACTCATATAATCAGGTACCCAACATATTTTATCCATGGAATCATAATGTAAAGATACATGACAAAGCAAAGAAAGGAGACCAATTTTAAAGTTTCCCTATCATTAAGATTCCTAGGAATCCAAAATTCCGAGACATTCGATAAGAGTATGAACCAATCATTGAAGCAATATGAACATGATAGCACAAAAGATTGTAAAGACGAGGATATAAACAATCACATAATGACTCCCCAATCCACAAATCGTTCTAAAATCGAACTTTTTTTTCATTACTCACAATAAATTTGGTCCTCTATGAAAAGGAGATGAATTTCCATGTTGTAAACCATATTTACTTCTAATAACTTAAGAAGCACGAATACTTCATTTTGGACAGTGTTGGTGTCGAACACGTCTGGGACACGGACACGCTTCGGATATGTTAAAATGAGTGTCCGATTTTTTTATTAGTAAATTTTTTTTAGTACATGTTTTGGACACGTTGGGACATATTTTGAGATTTATTTTTAATTTTTTGAGAACTTTTCAAAAAATTTTATAATTAAAAGTTATTTTTATAATTTTAAATGAATGTGAGTCACAATAATAATATAAAAGAAGTTATAATCATTACATTGAACATAGGACATGAATTTAATATAATTTTGGATATGTATACGAACTTATATACAAATGAAATAGTCTTTTAATATGAAAGTAATGTGAAAAAAAATAGGATTACAAAATTGAAACTCTTGAAATTTGATGAAAATTAGTATTACGAAATAGAATATTTTTTAAAGTAAAAGTTGTAGAAGTCATTGATTATTGAATTATGGATGTTAATGTTGAACATGTATCAATATATCTTATATTATACTTTTTATGCAATGATATCATGATGTAAATTTTCAGAATTAGGAAAATAATAAATTAGAAGATTATTATGATAATATTTTTATTTTATCACATGATATATATATATATATATGTATAATACATATTATTTAACGTATCGTTAACATGTCTGTATCTTACTTTTTTGAACAATTTCGTGTCGGCGTGTCCGTATCCCTGTCCTGTATCCGTGTTCATGCTTCTTGACTAATAACCATGTGGCACAATGAATTTTACTCCATCAGAAACTTCTAAATTCATTTCATAGCTCTATTCTGGCCTTCAAATTTTTCACCGAAAGACCACCCTTAATTCTAGGTCTAGACACAACCTCCCAATCAAATGATCTGAATTACCTTCATCACTGCCCTCCTATAAAAAATTGTTCATCATCCCTTCAATCCTTCTTGTCACCTAATGAAGGCATCTTAAAGAGAGAATAAATTGGAATACTAGCCAAGACCAACTGAACTAATGCAAGTCTTCGTTCTCTAGATATAAAAGTTTTCTTCAATTCATCCAACTTTTTCCCAATTCTCGCAATAACCGGATCCCAGAAACAGATAAAGGGTTACCACATAAAGGAAGTCCCAAAGACTAAATTTAGGGGCCAATATCCTGCCAACCTATTAACCTTTCTCCTGCATGGAGTTAATCTCAACAGTCAAACTTTTATCCATATTGACCTTAAGCCCAGACGTCACACTGAACACATCAATAAACCCTTTTTCCCCCCAAAAAAAAAACAAGCTCACTCACCCTGATATCTTGGTTTGGTAGACAAATTGTGATTTCACTGTACTGCTCTATCTGGAACCATAATACTTCTTGGTTGGAGCCCAACCATATAGAAGTACCATTTCTTTAATAGAATGATGCATGTTTCATGTTTACAGTGCAGGGGCTGTTACACTATGTTTGCCTTGCTTGTTGTTCTCTTGTAGATTAAGATCTTTGTTCTCTTCCATTCCAATTTCTTAGAATGTTTTTACCCTTGATGTTCTAGTGCAATTTACTAATTAGCTTTTACTGTGGCAGTGAGTCTGAGATTGATATATTTGAATCAGTTGACAAACAAAGGCGGGAAGAAGAGCTGGTAGGCATATTAGTTTTTATGGGCATGCTACTGATTGCTGATCGCTTCTGATACATTTGTTGGATTTATGGCTGATTACTTCTTAATTGAAGTGGCATAATAGTAATAAACTTAAATTCTGCAGGCAACCTGGAGGATGTTGACGTCGGGACATGAGACAAATTGTTCTGATCCTGTATCTCTCCTGCCTTCTCGGCTTCTAACATACGAAGAATTAAAACCATTCTATGAAGCAATGAAGATTTCTGAAGTACCAAAGCCTGGATTGGTATCTAATGCTGGCATAAAGCGAAAGAGTGAAAATCTTGGGGGCCTTGATACCCAACAATATGGAAGGGGGAAACGAGCAAGAGAGGTGGGTTTGTTATACATGTTTTTCGCAGAATGTGTTCATGCTCAATGCCATAGCCTGCCCTTTATAAGCATTGCTTTTTTTGTTCCTAAGTAATTGATTGATACTTGAATATGTATGATCTTGTCCTTTCGTTTTAATATATTTCTTGATCTTTTACTTATTTAGGTGCGCAACTATGAAGAGCAATGGTCAGAGGAAGAATTCGAAAAGATGTGTCAAGTTGACTCCCCTGGATCCCCTAAAGTGAAGGAAGAAGTGATGGAAAAGAGCTTGCCAACAGTTGTGAGTGGGTCTATTATGGCCATTGGTGAAACAGAAGCACCAGCACCAGCACCAATCAAACTGCCTCAACAACCTTCTGTGGAGCCTCCAACACAACAAAGCAAAGAGGTTACACCACCATCTAAACGGGGCCGAGGAAGGCCTAAAAGAGTGACAACGGTAGTCACTCCATCGCCGATGGTTCTTCCAGTTCCGTCTGGTGCCAGTAATGTTGATGTGGTAAAGGTTTCTAGCAGTCCAACAGTATCGAGTCCTGATTCCTTATCAACTTCTTCTACTGTAAAGAGTATAACTGGAACCATCCATCAATTTGGTGTATTTATTCCTCCTAGCTGCCAGTCGATTTCTCCCCTCTCTTCTATGGTTCCTGTCTCTCAGTCTATTGCTATACCTTGCCCTTCCCCATCTGTGCAAGTCAAAGGAAGAGGTCGAAAGACTCAGAGTGGGGCAGAAATGCCTCGGCGTAGAGGGAAGAAACAAAGTACAACACCACCAACTGTTCCAGTTCTTCCTGCACCAGCTGGAACAGGCACAGAATTGGGTTCACAGAGAGGAGTGGTGTCCAGTTCCTCATCAGCCTCTGCTCCCGATTCTGTTTCTGCCTCTCCTACTGTAAAGGATATTAGTAAGGTGGCTGAACCAATTTCCCCCATTGTTCTGGTTCCTCCTGCTCCTTCTGGAACCAGCAAAATAGATATCGGATCACAGAGGGGACCAGTTTTCTGCTCTCCTGTGGTCTCTGCTGCTTCTGCTATGACTGGAATCTGTGGAACTGTGGATGCTCTTGGTTTAGGTAATGCTTCTAGCTCTAAGCCAATCCCTCCATTACCTTCTGTCGCCCATGGCGCTCAATCTATACTTCCTTCTCATTCTGTTCCTGAGCAAGTTGAAATACAAGGAAGTAAAGGTCAAAGTAGAGTTGTGGCACCAAGCCGAAGGGGTAAGAGACAGGATCCTGTAACCCCTGTTATTCCTCCTGATGTTTTAAGTAATCAGCATCCCCAATCAAATGAACCACCACAGAAGAAATCAAGGGTATCAGGGGTGAGAAAGGCCATTACCACAAGAAGTATGCGAGATAATGAAGCTCAGAAACTGACAAATGTCATCCATGCACAATTATGTGAAGCCCCTAACCCTGATGGTCTAGCTGGTGAAAATTCAAATTTAACTGAGAAATCAGATATTTCAGTCCACAACACGCAGCAAACGAGTACATCAGCAACAAATAATGTTGCATCCTGGTCCCAAGAAAAGAAGTCTGCCTATTCGGAAAATAGAGTTGATGCCTCACTGGAAATAAAGAATGGAAAAATCTCTACTGAAAATGAAGCATCTCAAAGTCTTGCAGATCTTACTGTTGAACAAGTCCATGCTGCTGATGCAAAAGTTTTTACTCCTGGGATAAACAAGGTTTCACATGAAACTCCCTCAACAGAACCTAAAATTGACGGGGTTTTAGGAAGCAGCGGAGAAGATGCCCCTGCTTTAACTGCATCAAATAATACGTTCATTGAGGTTACAGTGAAACAAAACTTGGATGATAAAACCTCTCTGGCTTCATCAACTTCAGGAAGGACTCCAGTTTGTGATTTTCCTGTTGAGAAGTGTGGAGGTCATTTTGAGAAGGAAGGTGGTGGAAATGCAGAAGAGGAGAAAACTCATGTGATGGGCAAATCTGTTGCTCCAAAGCCCGTGGTTTGTGAACCTGAGAGCAAAGAAACTGATAAAGAACATTGTCACGACAAGTGTGGAGAGAATATTGAAGCTCAGAAACTGACTGATATAGCTCAGGTACAGGCATGTCAAGTCCATATCTCTGATGGTTTTACTGGTCCAGATTCTAAATCAATTAAGCAATCAGATTATTCTCTACAAAACAAGCAGGAAACAAATCCATTGGCAGCAATTGATTTCGCATTTATGTCCCTGGGAAAGAAGTCTACGCATGTAGAAGTCCAAGAAGTTGATGCAACAACAAAATCACAGGATAGAATTTTGTCTACAGAAATTGAGACTTCTCAAAGTTGTGTGGAAGTTGTCTCAGAACAAACGGCTGACATAAAAGATGCTGCTGCTGTAATAAAGGAGGTTCCTTGTGAAACTTCCTCGTCAGAAGCTGTTATTGATGAGTCTTCTAGGAGTGAAGGTGGGGATGCCCCAAATTTTCCGGTCTCAAGTGACACCTTAATTGAAGTGACTGTGAACCAAAGTTTGAATAATAAAGCCGATCCATCTTTGTCAACTTTGGGATCTAATCCAGTTTGTGATCTTCTGATGTGTCAAAGTCAATCTGAGATGGAAGATGGTGAAAGGGTGGAAGATGAGAAAAATTCTGTCATGGGTGGACCCATTGCTCCCAAGCCCAATCTTAGTCGATCTGAGGGCCAAACAACTGACAAGAGCCAGTGCAATGAGGAGAAAAATCCTGTTATGGATGAATCTGTTGGTCCCAAGCCACAGTTTAGTGAATCGGAGGGCCAAAGGACTGACAAGAGCCATTGCAATGAGAAGGGCGGAGAGGATGAAGCTGAGAAACTGGAAGACATTGTCCAGGCACAGGCATGTGAGGTCCATGCCCCTGCTGGCTCTGCTAGGCAGGATTCAAAGTCAAGTGAGCTATCAGATTATCATGCTCAATGCAGACAGGAAGCAACCTCAGGAGCTGTAACAGATGCTGCAGCCATCTCCCTGATTGAGGAGCCTGCCTATTTAGAGGTCCAAGTCAATGCACCAGTGATATCAAAGGATGGAAATCTCTCTACAGAAAGTGAGGTTTCTCAAACTTGTGAAGATCTGGCCACAGAACAAAGTAATACTGGTGATCTTACTCCTGCAATAACAGAGGCTCCATGTGAAGCTCCCTTGTCAGAAACAAAAATTAACGAGTCTTTAACGACTGAAGGTAGAGTGGTCCAAGCGGTACCTTTACCTAGTAACACCACCATTGAGGTAACTGCAAACCAAAGTTCTGATAATGAGATACATTCAGGTTTATCAACCTCAGAAATGGCTCCAGTTTGTGTTCTTCCAGTTGAAAAGTGTGAAAGTCAATCTGGGAAGGAAGGTGCTAGGGTTCTTCCAAATATTGTTCTGGATAAATCCGGTTCTCCGAAGCCCGATATTTGTGAACTTGAGAGTGAAAGGAAAGATGTTGTCTCTGTTTTGGACATTGATGATTCAAAGCAGCTTATTGACGAGTCTATTGGCTGTGGCAGTGACACTGCCCGGGATGTACCTATTTCAAGCAAGAGCTTGATTGAGGTCATGGAGCCGAAATGTTCAACTTTGTCAACTTCGGAAACAGGCTCCAGTTTTTGAAATTTCAGTGGACAGGTCTGAGGATCAATCTGGGAAAGTAGATTTGGAAAAGCAAGAAAATGTAGACCCTGTTCTGGACTAGACACTTTCTGGGGGACCTGCGGTTGATCAAAGTTCCGGGCAAAATTCCATCTCATCTTCATCAACTTTGGAAACAGCAGCACCATCTTTGGACATTCCAATGGACAAGTCTGATAATCAATCTGAGAAAGAAGATACAAAAGAATAATGTTTGATGCTTCTTGATCGAAGTACCAAAGCATCAAACATTAGGTTTGTAATGGGAATGTGTACTACAGCAGATGCAAAAACTGCTAGAGCTTGTAAAAAGCTCTGATACATTAATGGCTTTCTGATACATTAATTATGTGCAACCTTGTTAAAATTAGGGCTTGTAAAAAGGAACTCCCTGCTTTTTTAATGTTTGTAATGCAGGTCTTTTGATGAACTCTCTGCCTTATTTAAACCATGCCTTCGATTTGAGCAAGGGATTTCTGAGAAAATTCCCAAAGTTTCTTTTGTCCTAAATTAACCCCCCCCCCCCCCCCCCCCCCCCGGGGGTCGGATAATACCACTTTTCAAGGTTACTAGTTATAACTATCCACGATGAACCGGAACATTTCACGACAACCGATTGTATCAATCAGGAATAATCTCAATTAATTATAATTTTACCAAAGGTATAACTTGATTTTTTGAAGTTATATTTTTTATGATCTGTTATAACATTTTAAAATCGATCACAATTTTTTCAGTTGTAAATTACACTCTGAAAATGTAATATAAGGAATAATTGGACCTTGCAACATTCTCGCTCATTACTACTTCAAATTATTTGGAGGAGAGGAGAGGGATGAGAGTTGAGAATCGGATTGCAAATATTGATCTTATATCAATTGGATCGGACTCAAAATTAGTGTGTTGGTGTTGATATGATTAGAAAATCATTTACTTAATTTTGTGGATTTTTGAGTCATGTGAATTTTTTTATTATGAAAATGGATTGTAAATTTTTTTTTACTTGTTATACAACTCAACTCGAGCATGACCACATTAATGAGCAAGTCATGTTAATAACATATTATTCCAAATGATTAAATAGATAATTTGAATTAAAATTAATTTATGCTCAATACAATTTCACATGATACTAGTCTAATACGAACATAGTCGCGGGTCAGCCCAAGACCTATCCCAACCCAGAAAGCTATCTCATCCTTTTTTAATCCTAACTCACTCCCGTAACCAAACACTCTCAAACTCATCCACAAACCCTAGACACTCTCTCCTCGTATAAAAACCCCTCTTTCCCCATCCAGGGTTTCACTCTCAGTTCAACCTCAAGCTCTCATTTCTCTCGTATCTCTTCAAAACCCTACCTATAATATTACCGAACAACCAACCATGGCTGAGAGAGGCGGAGACCGCGGTGGCTTTGGTAGAGGCTTCGGAGGCAGAGGGCGTGGCGGAGACAGAGGCGGCAGAGGAGACCGTGGCGGCAGAGGAGGCCGCCGTGGCCGAGGCCGCCGCGAAGCCGACGAAGAAAAATGGGTCCCAGTTACCAAGCTCGGCCGGTTGGTCAAGGACGGTAAGATCAGATCCCTAGAGCAAATTTACCTCCACTCACTCCCGATCAAAGAGCACCAAATTATCGACACTCTGGTAGGACCATCTCTCAAGGACGAGGTCATGAAGATCATGCCGGTCCAGAAACAAACCCGGGCCGGTCAACGTACCCGGTTCAAGGCTTTCGTCGTGGTCGGTGACGGAAATGGCCATGTAGGGTTGGGGGTGAAGTGTTCGAAAGAGGTGGCGACGGCGATTAGGGGATCGATAATTCTGGCGAAGCTGTCCGTGATTCCGGTGAGGAGAGGGTATTGGGGGAATAAGATTGGGAAGCCTCATACAGTGCCTTGTAAGGTCACCGGAAAATGTGGGTCCGTCACCGTCCGGATGGTGCCGGCTCCGAGAGGTGCCGGGATTGTGGCGGCGCGTGTACCCAAGAAGGTGCTGCAGTTTGCTGGGATTGAGGATGTTTTCACTTCGTCTCGTGGCTCCACCAAGACTCTTGGAAATTTCGTCAAGGTTTGATTGATCTACCCTCTTTACCTGAATATTGATACCTTAAATCCCAGGAATTAGTTGTAATTAAGAATTGCCTGCATGTTAGAGCATATCTCTAGTATAACTGGTAGCATGCATATATTGTTGATTTTTATTTTGATTATTATTGTTCTCTTGAAGTCCTCATAAGTATTCATCAAAAGTTCTCTCATGCTTTTGTAATGCTGGGTTTTTATTGAGCACTTTTGGAAATTCACTGTGACTGATAATTGTTATGTATTCAGGTGTATAATTAGTGTGGATGGATATTTGGAGGCCCACTTATTATCCAATGACTATGATTTCTATAGCACTTGAAAGTAAAGATCAATCCACCACAATAGTGCTAAAATGATTCGTCTCCATTGCCCCTCCTTCCCCGGGGGAAAACATATGATTCTGTTGTCTAAATGTTTGGACTACAAGGATATCATAATTACAACAAAACTATTTGTTAAGAAATTCTAGAAACACTTGTTATGTTTTCATAGCATGCTTTTAGCTGTACAATATTCTCTGATTTATCGGTGGAAAATATGATTAAATTGCCACCAAAAGAAACATGAAAGTTCCCGTCTCTTGTCAAATGCAAAACATTTTGGGATCATTCACACGTCAGTGTCACGAATTGTTATGAATTCAGTCGGGCATATATTTATCTATGTATTCTTTTGCATGTGTTTTTGAATTGGGTTGTTAACTAGGGTAGGGTATTAATTTGTTGGAAAGACATACTTTTTTTGTTGAACATGGAATCTTGAGTGTGATTCTGTGCATGTATGTGGATTTAGGTGTGGGTGGTCAACTGGTCATTATGGAAATTCTTTACATTCATATTGGTTTTTTACGACATCTAAATCCAGATCGAAGTGTTTTACTGGTGTTTGTATCTAATGTCATGTCTGTTATCACTTTTTCTCTTGAAATAGTGGGGATATAACCATGATTTATGGGCATCTTGATATTTATAAAAGTTGTTAGTTTGAGCTGGGAAGCTGAAATCTGATTGCCTATCATGTCAGATTTTCATTTTTTTTGGCTGTTGGAGAATTTTATTATTTTTTGTTAATTTAAGTGAACATACCTTCTGTGCACACACGATATATAGTTCAAAGAAAAAGTAGGAAAATGTAAAAGTAATTTTACATTCTTCAATTGTTGATATGCATATCTTTTTCCATGCCATAGTATTGTATGAACTTCAATCTTTTTGAGTGCCCAGTTACATTTTCTTTATCAGAAAAAAGTAGAAGCTGTTCAGTTTTGATTTGACGATTAAGAAATGATGTGGTTAGTACTTGACTTGCCCCAGTTCATGCGGCTATGAGCAGAAATCAATAAGGTAAAAGATGCGGTGACTAACCAAAATTTAGGAGTGAAGAACCATGGAACTGTCTAGATGGAATTCTAGAAGATGACTGTATATTAAGGGCAGCTTGTTGTTCTGTAGGATTTAGAGATGTAAGTGGATGTCTAATGCATTTGATCTGTGCAGGCAACTTTTGATTGTCTGCTGAAGACTTATGGGTTCCTTACTCCAGACTTTTGGAGCGAGACTCGCTTCACAAAATCTCCATTCCAAGAGCACACAGATCTGTTGGCAAAGCCGACTAACAAGATTGTTTTCAATGATGATGCTGCTGAGAGGATTGAGCCTTGATATGTGTTCTAGGTTTTAATAATAGTGCGAAGTATGTTTTGCTAGGACTTTCCATCAAAGAACTCAGATTGTTTGAATTTAATCCTCTCTTTCTAGGGATGTTTTGTTGCTATCATTTTCGGACATGTTCAGATGGTTCTTTAAGATTTGGACTAAAATGTTTATGCTTGCTTATTTTTAAGGAATGAGAGTTTTGTATGGGTTGAAATGTTTGTTGCAAGTTTCTAGGAAACATTATTTGGATGCCCTCCTCGCCCGATTTTGTTGGCTGCAATACTTCAGTGGACATAACTATTTCATTGTTATTTCTGCTTGTCAATAGACTCCATGCACATCCCTACTGGAAAAATCTGCCAAACATCAGTGATCCATGGACAGTGAAAATTGATGTTACATAGTTTCCTCGTCTACCCAACAAATTGGGCATGCAGAGGATTGCAACATTTTTCTTTCCAGAGATTCCATTTAGTACCGAGTTCCTATGATATCTTTCACATGAAAATTCTGACAGTTGGAGAAGTCAGCAGCTTCCATATAAATCCTTAGAGGTCCTCTGGTACCAGAAAATCAAAGGACATCCTTGATTAATCTCTTCTTGATTTAGTCGATGGAGGTTGGTTATTCACGTTGGAATTAAAGTATTTATGAATAATTTGTCTTTTATGGCCTGATTTTAAGGGATTGTTAAGATTTAAACTCATGAAATTTAAGTTTACAGTTTATTTTTGTTATCACTTGATTTAGCATTCGGATTGATATTCATTCTTTATTCATATAGGAAGGTGGCAAACATCCCACAAAAAAACTTGTCAGTATCAAGGTAACGGTGTGGTTCAGGACAAACCTTTATTAATGCATGAGATTTTGGTTACAAAAAGTGCTTCAGTCGCTGGTAACGACTTGACTCGAGTTTCTGTTGTTGGATTAAGTGAGAGCCGAAACCAAGGCTCTTTGCTACGCTCTATAAATATTTGTACGATTTTTATGAATTTTGGGTGTGTTTGAATTCAGCCTCTCGTTAAGTCTTCATTGAAAGATTGTACTCGTATCCCTGAGGGCCAACCCCTTTCTCTCTCCTCTGGTTATCTTACTACATTGCCTCCCTTGAATCCTTTTTCCAACTGTGCTTTTACTCTATCAAAAGCTAGCTGTTATGGCACCAATGTTCTTGTTGAAATTAACAGGATATTTAAAAATTGTCGAAGTATATGAAGGAATGGCTTGTATGGGTGCCTTAATTGGACGTTTTCTTTAAGCTCGGTTTAGCATTTTCACAAGTTTTCTCTTTCATCCTGCCCAAAGCTTGTCTCTTTGATCTTCCCCATTCGGTGCTGATGTGCCCAAAATTAACTGGGTCAGGCCCAATAGATTAAGTAGGCCCAAGTCAACTAAAGAGCGATCCAAGCCCACTTTGCCAGTCCAACTCAGTTTAGGATCTAAGAAGTTCGGAGAGATAAGAACACATGGGAGAAACTATCGGGATACACACTCATGGAAATCCAATCCTAACTTGCTTGTACTTACCAAATGGAATAGTGCCCTCTCCCTCATGTCACCGCCTCTCCATACTTATATAATGTAAGCCCTCTCTACATAGAGGGCATGACCTTGAGGCCTCTAAACTTTGAGATCTCTACACATACTACACCTCCCAACACATATTGCTTCTCTCTCCTCACTATTGTAATACTCCAGAATATACTCTCCTGGAGACTTTATTCATCAATAAAACATCCTCCGCCACCGCTGTCGTTCCTGAAAGTAGAGTAAGTTACTCGAACTGAACCACTATAAATCTGTGTGTTTTGCTTTTATTTACTATTTTGTCTTTGATTGTCTATTTATTGTTCATTAATTACACTCTTACATATACTCGACTATTAATTTTACACAATACCAATTTATGCATCATCAAATGACAACCTAGGAATTTCTCTATTCTCTAAAACATAAGAAAAATATTTATTCGGGTTCATGTGTAGACCAAATACTTGGTATTACTGATTCACTGTATCTACTAGGTCATAGCAATTTGACTTTGATACCTGAGAAGACAGACCAAATCGTTTGGAAACAACAAATGAGAAACACTGCAACATATGTTATTAAGTTCTAATTTTGTGACATTACCACAATAAAAGAAATTTGGTGGCAGAGGGCCATCTTGTACATGATTTTTATTTTTCCATAATTTCCTGGTGGAATTGAAAACAAAAAAAAAAGGCAGTTTTAGCCTCTTGGTTTTGTTGATTATAAGAACAAGCCTTATATTTTGTACATAAGGGAAGTTTTGGGTACTAAATTTGAAATTTTTGAGAGAAACATGGCATTGTAAAACCGACGTCAATTTTCAAGCACGTGCAATTGAGTTTCTATCAGCTCAGTCAAAATTTTTAACAAGTTTTCTTTGATCATAAAGGTTACTTATATCTCTCCAAAATATAGATATATTAGTTATAACCCGTATTTGAAGGTACGGTAAAACATAAAATTTGATTGCTTAAAAAATTAATCCTACTTTACTAAATAATAATTTTTTATTTCTTCATTTATTTGATTACATCATTTAAAATTAATTTCTATCGATTATTTTTTTAAAAATAACATCAAATTTTCTCAAAATGTATAACTCGATAAATTTTTTTCAACACGTGTACATTATTGTGTATGAACAATGTATGAAACAATAATTATGTTAAATTACAAATTAATCAAATATTAAATGATTAAACATGTGATAAAATTGGGTGATGGAATAATTTTTTTTTTGGGGGGGTGAACTATGTTTGAGATAAAAATTCAAACTCCTAGGTGTTTTATTATATATATAAATACATAATGACACAAATATAGATATATAGATAAATAATGTGTTTCAAAAACAACTCACCGGAGAAAATAAAAATTTCTCTTTTTACACAACCAACATGGGTAACAATTGATACAGTTATATACTAAAAGTTTGTCTTTTTATAATGAAATTCAGTTTATTATGTAAAGAAATTTCTATTAAGAATTTGTATGAGCAAAATGTTTGTATTATATCAAATATACGATTTATACGCAAAATATCAGATTACTAAATTCTTATATGATATAAGAAAAAGTTCATAACTTTAGATGGAATTAAATATACTATCAGCGTGATTATAATGAAATCTTCTAGCATAATTTTTCTTAACTATAGGAGACTATTTAATGTTTTCGATTGTTGTACTAGTACATTTATAGTGTATTGAACAAGACCATTATTGCGGTTTTTTTTTTTATTAGTTAAATAAGAAAATAAATACTTCATAGTTATTATGATTGTTAAACTAATAATCTTGAGATATTTAATTGACATGTACATATAATAATTATTACTTTAATTCATCAAATAGTGAGATTTATATTTGAAGGCATATGAGATCAATAATAAATTTTTAGTACACTAACTTATTATTAATGTACCGTATGATATTTATTCTGGGTTGGATATAAGATTCATAAACTCATTAAAAGCTTGACTTTTATTTCTACTTGGGGTCTCTACTGTAACTTATAAATTTACACTCTTGCTTGTTCTCTTAGTCATAACATTT